CCAGCCTCCAGCCAACCACAAGCAGCGCCCAGGCAAGATAACGGCTTAGGTAGGTTTCTCTTGTGCCCCGGGGGGAGGGGGGCGAGATGGCCCAGGCTCGTCCTTGAGCATCGCAGTCGTAACTGCTTCCCGGATAACAGGAAAAAACAGGCTCGTCTCCAGCGCCGACGGGCTCTGCCTGCTGAGTAGACGCCGGGAGGTGGAGATGCGGATGGGGAGAGCTAGAAGGACAAAGCAGCACGAGTGTGCAGCAATTAGTCAGCTAAATCCTGCCTGCCGACGACTTCCAAGCCTCCCGGCATTGCAGAAGCTGGCGTGGCAGCGGCGGTACAAAGTGCTTTTCCCCAGGTGGTTGCAATGAGGGATGGCAGTCACCGGCCTGCTCCGGAGACTTTGTGGCACCCCAGAGCCCGTGGAAGCGGTTGGTGCTCTCCAGCACGGGGCCAAGCGCCCTGGGAGCGTGGGCAACACCTCTCCCTGGGGCCTGCCTCGCACTACGGGTAGAGCAAAAGGGTGCGTTGTGCCCCCAGTTACCTCGCCAGGCCACACGTGGAATAAATCAGGAGCGGTGTTTGACCCCTCGTGTCGGCAGGAGTGACCTGCGGGCAGGGGAGCCCCTGTTGTGACTGAGATGCCCGTCACCATCGCCAACTCTCTGCGCTATGGTGAAAGGGGAGAGGAAGGGAAGCGCAGCCAAGAAAGACCAAGCAAAGCAAGGGAAAACATCTGATAATGATGGATCCTAACGAGAACCTAAGAAGGAAAGAATAGAAATAGGGACTAAAAGCATGGAGAGGACAGAAAGTGGAGGGGAAGGGCAGAACCGGCAAGACAGAAGGATAAGGAGAGGGGATTAAACCAGGGGCGTCGTGCTGCCAGACTTCCTGCGGCAGCAGACCCGGTGGCTCCGGGAGGGACTTTGCTGGCGGGGAGGAGAGGGTCCCGCTGCCGGGACTCTCCCACTGCTCCAGCTCATTCAAATGCAAATCTGTAATTTTGCACTCCTCATCTCCTTCCTTCCTTCCTTCCTTCCTTCCTCCCCGCTCTGCCCTCGCTATTATAAACTCCGCAGCCAGCACCGACATTTTTCATGAACTGAAATTGTCTCCTACCCTCGCTGCCTACTGCCTGCATTAATCACAGGCAGGAAATTGCCTGCGCGGCGCCTGGGGCCGAGAGGCGCCGCCGCCGGGCGGGGGCC